TATTTGTTGATTAGTTTATAAAAAACCTACTCAAAAATTTTTTTTAAGTTAAATTAATTAATAAAAAATGAAATATTTAATGTATAATTTTTAAAATTTCCCATTCTTGTAAAATTCTCCTTATTTATATTTCTGCATCATCCCAAGTAGTCAAATGCTGTCCACATGACTGAGGAACACAAATAACATATACCAAATTGAATAGATTACTCCACTTTAAATTGATAATTATCTATCTTGCTTATCAAATTGATATAATTATCTTTCTTGCTCACCAACAACTATTTTGATTTAATATATTATTAAGGGAAGAATAAATTCCCATCATCACCTTTACAGAAGCTTGAATGAACTATTAACTGAGATTGCTCATCTCTTAAATATTTAGTTATAGATCAAATTGCCTTTTTTTGGTTGAAATGTGAAAAAATTATCGTTCATAAAACATTATCTCATAACAAGACAATCACCATAAATTGTTTATACTACAATCCATTGTTTATTCTATTTTGAGTAGTCAATTACTAAGATTAATTGATCTTATCCACATGAAATAACTTTATTTCATTTAAGCTTAATTCATAAACTTAATGCTGGTGATCTGTTATTGCTTATTAACAGATCCATCCTTTTTTCATCCAAAATTTAATTGTCTTGTCTTTTCTAATTCATGTAATCATATCTTCATTATTCATAATTAAACAATTTATACAATCATTCATTGTGTTTTTTAAGTGTTTATGATAAACTCCATTAATTATTGTTGTTTTTTGACCAAAGTAAAATATCTTGGATTTTTACATAAAATATTAGGTGCTCACCTAAATTTAATGTTGAGATAAGAGTTGCAACACTCCTTCTCAAATTCATATATTTTTACTGATTTTTCACATCCAACTGCCACAATTGAACAATCTTTCTTAAATGCTACTGCAAATTTACCTACGCTTTATGAAATTTAAATTTGATTATTTTTGGTTATATCAGATTGATTCTTTATTGTTGTTACTATTTAGATAACAATCTCTATTACTTATTAAATTATTGATTCAGTAATCTAAATAGCGTTTTTTCGCATTATTCTATGGAACCTAAACCTTTTACTATTTATCAAGCTATGATAATCTTAATTTAGGTGTTTAATCAATATTAAAGTTAAAATAAGAGATTGATTTAGAATTTTTCAAGAGAAACTTTAAACTCTTGTCTATTGTTTTAACATTATAAAACTAAAGAATTGGTTATTAAATCCGTTCATTTATAAGATCTAAAGAGGTTATTTATGAAGATTTTAGGCATGGAAAGGCAAGCAATAATTACAATAAGCTCTTAAAATTGGGCATGTGGTATCTATACAAAGCCCTATTATTGATTGATTTCGATGGCGGCTTTAATTACATCTCATCTACATTTTCAATTTTTTCTATAAAAAATAATATTTAATATATATATGGATTAGCTGATTAATATTAACCTTTTTAATAATTTTTGAATAATTCAGAATGAAAGTAACTAAGAATTTTATAAATTTCCTGTTCTCAAATTAAATATTCTACTATAGATTCAATTTGTTCAAATTTAAAATTTGATTTGAATGTCATTAGTGGATGAATATGATAGACCCACCAAATTTAATTATTAATAATAATAAGTAATGATATTATGGCTTAGAAATTTCTGAATTTAATAACATACTGACAGTATAAAATAAATAGATATTTAAAAAGAGTCGATAATCATTATACAAAGAATAAATCCAGAATAGCAAATTAGAAATATTAAAGGGAATTTTCTATATCAAATATGATCATATTATGGGAATTTCCCATAAATGGAATATGAATGTAAGAACATTTTTTGCTAGATTAAAATTATCTCCATAAAGTTGTAGCTTTTAGAGAATAATTCGTTTAGATTAAAAAAAATCTTTTTTTAACTCCTCAATCCAGAATTAAACCCATCATATTAACACTTTAGTGGCAATTATGTGGTGTTGGGACAAGGTTTAAATATTGTAATATTAGATTCTGAAACATTAGAGCAAACTTAGTTGAATTCATTAATGATTGCATTTATGATATTAAAAAAATAAATAAATGATTATCTGCTTATATTGAAAGGGACTAGGATGCGATTGAAAATGATATTTCTAAATTGAAAATATAATTGATGGCTTAAGGTTTCTGATGGACCGTTATTACTTCTTTATAAAGATTTTTTGCAAACCTTATCAAATTAGCTGATGGAGGGTTCAAATGGCAGAGATTCCAGCCCCCTAATAAGTAATAGGAAAATGCACTACATCAGCCTGAAGA